ACTCATAATGGCCAAAAGGTGTTGTGAATGCTGTCTTATATCTATCTTTAGGAGCTATTATTATTTGCCAATATCCTGATTTTAAATCAAATTTTGAAAATATCTTTTCATTATATAACCTATTTAATAAATCCTTTTCATTTGGAATTGGATATCTAATCCATTGTAAAACTTTATTTAATGGTTTATAATTAATAACTAATCTTGGAACTCCTCTTTCTTTTTCAGCTTGATTCATAACATAAAAAACTGCACAACTCCAAGGTGATTTTGAAGGTGTTATTAATCCTTTATCCATTAATGTTTTTATTTCTTTCTTACAAAATTCTAGTAATTCAGTATTCATTTGTATAGGTCTAGCTTTTGTTGGAATATTTTTCTCATTAAAATCCTTTTCATAAGGTAAATTTATCATATGTTGTTTTCTATCCCAAAAGGCATTCGGAATGTCTGCACAAACTTCTTTTTTAATTAAATCTTCTAATTCTAAAATTCTTTTTTGCATTTTTATTTCTTTTAATTGTTCTTCAATTTTTAAATAAAATTTTTCTTCCTTTATGTAATTTATATGTTGTTTAATTCTAGTAATAGTTTTTATTGTTTTATAAATAGAGGATGATTGTAATGTTTGTAATTCCCTTTGTCTAATTGGAGTTAAAAATTTAAAAGTAATAGTTTTTCCCATAATATTAGTAGAGACTCCTTCATATCCTACTGAAAATGGATATATTTGAATTAAAAAGGGTGTTCCTAATATTATATCATTACTTATATTTTTTACAATTAAAAAACTATGTCTAAGACAATAATTGTTATTACATATTGATCCTTTTGTAAATTTATATTTTACTTGTAAATTTTCTCCATTTGCTGCCATTAATGTTTCATTTGTTCTTTCACAGTATTTAGTAGGAATTATTCCTTCTTTTACACTACTTGAATCTGCTCCACTATCCAATAAAGCTACACATGTTTCTTTAAAATCTTCTACTATTATTGTGACTAAAGCATACCACTTTTGAAATGTCATTTTTTCTATTATATTTAGATATTGTTCTTCATTTACTGGTTTTTCTGGAATAATTATTTCTTCTGTAGTTAATGTTTTTGAAGTGGAAGGTTTATTTTCTATTAATGTCATTTTGGCTTCTATTTCTAAATCTTTAGTTTTTAATTCTATAATTTCTTGTTGTAATTGTTTCACTTGAGTCTTTAAATTATTAATTTTTGTTTGAAGATCTTTAGTAGTTTCTTTTTTCATACTATTTATATTAGGATATTTATCTATTAATTTTGAAATACTAAATGGTTCAATTATTTTTGGCATCTTATCTTCTTGTATTATTAAACTCTTTAATCTTTCTAAATATTCTTTTTTAGCTAAATGATCATCAATTTTTTCTATTATATCTAATAAAAATTCTTTATCTTCCTTTTTTGTAATTACATTTATGTATTTTGGGTTTGTAATTACATTTATATATTTTGGATTATTTGAACAATTACTATCTTCTCCATCATCTGAACTACTTATATCATTGTAATAATCATCTTCTGTACTTTGTTCTTTTTCATTTATTAATATGTTTATTAATTTATTCTTTATTTCTTCGTCTTCTGCACAGATTTCATTTATTTTTTCTTTTAATTTACATTTATTTGCTTTATGTCCTACTTTCCCACATTTATAACAAACAATTTTCTTTTTATAGAATTTTTTGCTTTTCTTTTTCTCATAATTTTCATCTTTATTCGATTTTTTATATCTTAAGTATTTTTTTTCCTTTTTACTTTTCTTTTTATATGCTGATGGTGATTTAATTCTTTTTATACCAAATGCTTCACAAAATTATCCTACTTCCTTTGTTTTAGAACCATACTTAATTTGAAGTTTTAATTCTGAACATAATATTAAACCTTCTTTTTTTACAAAAGCAAATAATTGTCCAAAAGTAATATTTTCAAATGAAATAACATCTGTTCCCATTTCTTTTTGTAAGTTATCCATTATCTTTTGTGAGAATAAACTTGGTAATCCTGTAATAAATCTTTCTTTCCAAAATGAAACATTACAATCTGGTCTTCTTAATACATTTGTTAAAAACATATCTTTGTACCATCTAAAGTCTGACAAAGTTGGGCATCTTAAATTTGTTAAAAATATTTTATTCGCATTTAACTCTTCTTTTGGATTTCCTACGAAATACATTACTATTGTTACAATTAAAAATTCTGCAAATCTAATTGTACTTGAATATTTCCTTGATCATCTTCAATATCTTGTGTATGATCTAGTATTGATAATTTATCTTGAAGTGTTAAAGCATTATCCCACCAATTTTTTAATTGTCCTGTAAATCCTGATACTAATAATGTTGCAATATTTCTTTCTTGAATATTTTTAAGCTTATAAGCTAATCTAGCCATTCCCATTTCTTGTAAAGTATTTAATACTTCATATTCTGCTCTTCCATCTATATTCCATTCATAAATTGAATCTCCATCATATTTAGTAGTATGAAATTTTGATCTTTCTTCATATTGAATATCTGGGGGACTAGGTCTTGGATAGTAATTTCTAGTGCTTACTAATTGCCAATCTTTTTTATTATTTCTGAAAGATTTTCTTCTTCTTATTTTATTTATTTGATTATCTTCTTCTTCTCTAAATTGATCTTCTATAGGTGAAATCATATTTTCATTATTTTCTGAATAGTTTGATTCTTCTGATGATATTTCTTCATTGACTATATTATCCAATGTACTTATTCTAGGAGTTTGAGTTTGAGTTTGAGCTTCTGTTGTTAAACTCTGCAATGTCTGAGATATTCTATTCAATATATTATCTGTATTGTTTATTCTTTGAATATTAACACTTTGAACTAACTCTTGTTCTCTTTCTCTAGTTAAGCTTCTAGGTTGAAAATGTGGTGCTGAAATATCATTAGGAAATCTTGTAACTGGTTTTTGAATACTATCTATTTTTGTATTCATTACTTCTATATGTTGAGATATAGTGTGAAGAATTTGATTTGTATAATTATTTTGTTGATATAATTTTTTAATATCTTCCAAATTTATATTATTACTACTACTATTACTTGATTCAGCTTCTCTACCCTTTTTAAAAGGGGATGCAATTATATCTCCTTGTCCTATATTAATTTTTACTTCTTGTAATGGAAGATGAATTGAAGTTGTTACTTGATCGTCTTTTAATTTTCATTTTTTATATAAATTAGTTTGAACATTTATTTGTGGAGTATTATATACATCATCTATTCCTACTTTTGAAATATAGAATGATAACCAAGTAAAGAAAGGAAAATCAAACTTTCTTATCTCTAGTTCTTTCTTCCATTCTAATATTAATTTTTCTTTACATTCAGAAGATAATTGAAAAAATCAAATTCTTTTTTCTGTATTTTCTTCATCATCAAAATCTTCTTGTAAGTATTTATGATTTATTTTATATTCTCTAATTATTACATTTATTTCTGCTTTCATTTGAGAATGTGTTGGAGAATATTCTGATTGATTTTGATTAACTACTTCTGGAACAGGAGTTTTAAACATAAATGTTGAAGAACTTTCTAAAGGAAAATTTGTATCAATTGATTCGTAACTAGATCGTTTAGCTGGTATCCAAGAATGGCTTGAAGTTGAAGATCTTTCTCTAAATGAGGCAAATCTCATTAAAATTTTTCCATCAGGTTCTTCTATAATATCTTCTGAATTTGTTTGTTCTATATTTCTTCTATAATATCTTCTATAATATCTTCTAAAATTTTTCCATCAGGTTCTTCTATAATATCTTCTGGATTTTGTATTATAAACTCACAAGGTGTAGTGATTTCATTCCATTTTAGTCTTTTTGGAGTACAAGTCAAAGGTCTATCTGCATCAACCTGTAATAATGTTGTTTCTTCTTTTAAAGTTGGAGTCATAATGAATTTTGGATTTAATTGTGAAGACAAAGGTCTATAATACATTCTGTAAATTACAGCAAAATTCTTTGTATGTTTTTCAAATTCATCACCTTGTAAATGAATATCTAATATTATTGAATTCAAAACGTGTGGATCAGTTAAATCTACTGAAAAAATTGGAGCACAATTAAAGTAAATTGGTCCATTACATACATTTGTTTGAATCATAGATAAAAGTGAAGTTTTATATCTTTTAAGTCTTGTGTCTCTTAAAACTAAATATATAGGAGCATCTACTCCTAGATGGATAAAAGGTTTTACTGCAACCTGAATTAATCCTATATGAATATATCTATATCCTTTACTAAGATACTTTTGAATTGTATTATGATTTAATAATGGAATGGATTGATATTCTTCTTGAATAGATATTGTTTCTTCATGGGTTTTAACGGATAAAGCTGTTTTGAAATTTAGGGGACCTATTCTGTAAATATGTTCTATTTTTTCTTCGGGAATAGTCCAATCCGAATTATTTACAGGCATATGATATTCATGACTTTGTACTATATTTGCTTGTTTTGAACTAGATCCTATCTTCAATTGTCTAAGAAATGCGGCCATGTTTAATATCTTGTTTTTTATCTTATCAGGAACAATCGAGCCTAAGCGTGGAACATCTTATCCTGGACTTACCAACCGACCTACAAGGCTTCAAAGTCTTACCAATGATTAAGATAAAATTTTAAATGAGATATTTAAACATGAATGCATGAATTAGAAATTTAATATAGGAAATAATTCAAAATAACAATAACTATGGTTAGGCTCTGATACCAGAACCAACCCAAGTGATACGAACGGCACCAACCTTGTGATGCAACCCGTACAAAAAGGCTTGGATCTAGAAGGTAGAGTCTCACGTTAAAGACGACGAACGCAGCAGATCACCTAAACCCGTTGATCACGTGGTCAAAGAACCTCGATATTTGTAGAAAACGCCACAATCTAGCGCGGTCCTAGATTGATAAGTCAATTGAATACCTAAGATACAAATCTAAGATATTCAAGGTGCTTCAATGAAGCTTTGAGAGAACTCTCAATGTAATGTTATTAATCATCAAAAACTGAATGTAACACATCACTTAAGGCTATTTATAGCCTTGACTAAACCCTAATAAAAGCTTGGAAAATACAAGGAAATTCGGCCAGTCCTTGGGCTTCTCTTTGGGCCGACACTAGCGAGACCCCCGAACCAGCTTAGCGTAGGACTAACTACATGACCCACATGGCCTGGCCTGTTGACTCAAGGACTAACAACGACTAAGGTCCAACGCACAGGCTAGTTGGACCTCTTTATTACACTCTACTAACTAAGGATGGGCCATGGGCCCTTGGCCGAATCTTGGGTAACTAATCCTCATGAGTGGTCGCAAGTAAGATGACATCTCTAGCTTCGTTGAGGCCCTCAATGGCCTTTGGCTCTCCACTTGACTCTCGGGCCGCACGAACCAACGTTTGTAGTGTTTCATTTAATCTCTTCGATCGAGCTCGTGTCATAGGCCCCAATGGCACCTTCACGTGCTCTACGTGGATAGCGCTCTCGACTTCCGCATCATTCCCCTCCTCTTGCGAAAGATTTGTCCTCAAATCAACCTCATCATCTGCAAGATAGGGACTTAGGTCAGCAACATTAAAAGTAGCCGAGACATTATACTCACCAGGAAGATCGAGCTTGTAGGCGTTGTCATTAATGCGCGCCACAACTTGGAATGGTCCATCTCCACGGGGTAGCAACTTGTTACGACGTTGGACAGGAAAACGCTCCTTGCGCAAGTGTAACCAGACCCAATCACCTGGTTCAAACACCACGCGACGCTGACCCTTGTTGGCATGCTTGAGGTACTGCTGGGGGCAAGCTTCAATGTTGTCCCTCACCTGCTGGTGCAATGTCTGGACAAACTCGGCCTTCTACTTGCCATCAAGGTTAGCACGCTCAGACAAAGGCAAAGGCATCAAATCCAAGGGGGTCAATGGGTTAAAATCGTAAACAATCTCAAATGGAGAAAACTGTGTAGCACTATGGACTGTACGATTATAAGCAAACTCGACGTGGGGTAAACACTCCTCCCACGTTTTGAGATTCTTTTTAATGATGGCCCTGAGCAAAGTAGACAAGGTGCGATTAACGACCTCAGTCTGGCCATCGGTCTGGGGGTGACTGGATGTAGAAAATAGCAATTTAGTCCCCAACTTCCCCCACAAGGTCTTCCAGAAGTATGAGAGAAACTTAACATCCCTATCAGACACAATTGTCTTAGGCACACCATGCAAATGGACAATTTCCTTAAAGAAAAGATCAGTTATGTGAGTAGCATCGTCCGTCTTATGACATGGAATGAAATGGGCCATTTTGGAAAATCGGTCCACAATGACAAAGACGCTATCATGGTCTCTTTTACTCCTAGGGAAACCAAGCACAAAGTCCATCGAAATGTCAACCCATGGTTCAGAAGGGATAGGTAGAGATGTGTACAAACCAAAGGGTTGGAGCTTGGACTTGGCACGGTGACAGGTGATGCAGCGTGTCACCACTCGCTCCACGTCCCGCCTCATGCGTGGCCAATAGAAGTGTTCCTGTAAAGCACTCAAAGTCTTGGTGACACCAAAGTGTCCCATCAAACCACCTCCATGAGCCTCACGGGTTAGTAACTCACGAATAGAACATGATGGAATGCATAATTTATCATGGCAATACAGAAATCCAACATGGATGAAGAACTTACCCTGACCCGACTTAACACAAGATGCATAGATATCCGAAAAATCCGAGTCGGTATCATAAAGATCCTTGATAAGGTCAAATCCAAGAAGTTTAGCATCAAGTAAAGCAGTCAAGGCATACCTCCTGGACAGTGCATCGGCAACTACATTGGTCTTGCCAGCTTTGTATTTGATCACATAGGGGAAAGACTCCACAAAATTGACCCACCAGACGTGTCTCTTATTCAACTTTTGTTGAGACTTGAGGTGCTTTAATGCCTCGTGGTCAGTGTGGATGACAAATTCCTTAGGCCTCAAGTAGTGCTGCCATGTCTCCAGTGCACGAATCAAAGCATAGAGCTCCTTGTCGTAGGTGGAGTAGTTCAAGGCGGCACCATTTAACTTCTCGCTAAAGTACGCGATCGGCCTTCCCTCTTGGATCAGTACGGCCCCAATTCCTACACCAGAAGCATCGCACTCAACCTCAAAAGCTTTATCAAAACTAGGTAAGGATAATAAGGGTGCGTGTGTGAGCTTGTGTTTAAGGAGTTGGAACGCCTTCTCCTGAGCTTCCCCCCATTCGAACTTCACATCCTTCTTGATAATGGCGGTAAGAGGGGCAGCTATAGTGCTGAAGTCCTTCACGAACCGGCGATAGAAACTCGCAAGGCCGTGGAAACTCCGAACTTCACTCATGGTCTTGGGTACGGGCCACTCATTGATGGCTTGGACCTTGCTCTCGTCCACTCTAATGCCTTGTGCACTAACCTTGTAACCAAGGAAAACAAGCTCATTAGTGCAGAAAGTACATTTGCCAAGATTGGCGAATAACCTCTCCCGGCGCAAAACCTCAAGGACAGCTCGTACATGCACTACATGTTCCTCAGGACTCTTGTTGTAGATCAGAATGTCGTCAAAATAAACAACAACAAACTTGCCTAAGAAAGGACGAAGCACGTGATTCATAAGGCGCATAAATGTACTCGGAGCGTTAGTCAAACCAAACGGCATAACTAACCATTCATACAGACCATACTTAGTCTTGAAGGCCGTCTTCCACTCGTCCCCTTCCTTCATTCGAATTTGATGGTAGCCACTCTTAAGATCGATCTTGGTGAATATGACTGCACCATACAATTCATCAAACAAATCATCTAAACGGGGTATAGGGTGACGATACTTAACTGTGATAGCGTTGATGGCGCGACAGTCCATACACATCCTCCAAGTGCCCTCTTTCTTTGGAACGAGGATGATGGGAACTGCACATGGGCTCATGCTCTCTTGAGCCCAACCTTTCTCTAAGAGCTCATCCACTTGCTTCTGGATCTCCTTAGTCTCTTTAGGACCCATCTTGTAGGCCGGTCTGTTCGGCAAGGATGCTCCAGGAATAAAGTCGATCTGGTGCTCGATCCCCCTAAGTGGTGGTAGACCACTGGGGATCTCATCTGGAAAAACGTCCTCAAATTCCTGTAATAAAGAGGAGATTTCAGGAGGTAAGTCATTGAGTGCTTCATGAGAAAGTAAGATCACCTCTTTGCAATATAAAACATAGACAACTTGCTTAGACAAAAGTAACTTGCGAACTTCTCTGTTCTTGGCAAGCAAGTTGGGCCGTTTCTCCATGCGACTAGATGATCCAGGGGTAGATGTCCTCTCGACTGGTGCCTTAATGATTGCTTTAGAATCGGTTGACTTCTTAGCGAACTCTCGTTCATGCTCTTGTTGCAATCGCAGTTGGTCTTCATGCACCTGCTGAGGTGTGAGAGGGACAAGTGTCATCTTCTTGTTGTGGTGCAAGAAGGAATACTTGTTTGTAAAGCCATCATGAGTAGTCTTCTTGTCATATTGCCATGGCCGTCCCAACAAAATGTGAGAAGCTTGCATGGGAACGACGTCGCAAAGGACCTCGTCCTCATACTTTCCAATCCGGAAAGGCACTACCACTTGCTTGGTGACTTTGATATCGCCACTCTCGTTGAGCCATTGCAAGCGGTACGGGCTAGGGTGCCTCAACGTAGGCAAGGAAAGATGGTCTACCATAAGAGTACTTGCCACGTTGGTACAACTACCCGCGTCAATGATGAGGCTACATACTCTTCCCTTGACGTGACATCGTGTGTAGAAGATGTTATCACGTTGGGCCTCATCCATTTTCTTGACTTGGGTTGCAAGAGCCAGACGGGCTACTAGAGCAACACCCACATGTTCAGTAGTGGCCTCAACCTCCACCTCGGAATCATCACCTTCATCAATCAATGGAGGCATCTCGGCGAACTCGTCCTCATCGTCAGAACGACATCTCCGCTTGGTAAGACAATCATGGTACGCCTATTGGGACACTGAGAAGCAATGTGCCAAAATCCTTGGCATTTGAAGCACTTGTCGCGGCTTCGTGGCTTGGAGGAGTCGAATGAAGGCCTTGGAGTTGTCTTTGGGGCCTCCTGGGGGGCTCGGTCTTAGGGGTAAACTTGGACACCCCTGGGTTAGGCCACTCCCGTTCGAAGGTCGAGTTGCCCTTCCACACCGGCGTGGCCGAGAAGCTAGGGTTACGAGGGTTACCCCTCCTCATAAGCCTTCTCTCAATCTTGGATGCCTTGTCAATCAACTCAGGCATATCCACGTAGTTTTGTAACTCCACCAATTCGGCGATCTCAGGTCTCAAACCGTTAAGGAATCTCGCCATGGTAGCCTCTCTATCCTCCACAATGTCTGCTCGGAGCATGGTGATCTCCATCTCCTTGTAGTAGTCCTCCACACTACGGCTTCCTTGGACTAATGTCTGAAGCCTCTGGTATAGGTCACGGTAGTAATGGCTGAGTATGAACCGTTTTCGCATAGTGGTTCGTAACTCCTCCCATGTACTAATTTGCCGTTCTCTATTGCGGCGCCTGCTAGTGCGCTCCTGCTCCCACCAGACAATAGTGTAATCGGTGAATTTGAGGGTTGCCAGTTTGACTTTTTGTTCATCTGTGTAGTCCTGGCACTCGAACACCATCTCGATTCGCTGCTCCCATTCTAGGTAAGCCTCTGGATTAGACTTGCCTTGGAAGGAGGGAATCTTGATCTTGACCCCCTTTAATCCGTCATCGATTCTCCGGTAGTCCTGCTTAGGTCGTCGGATGAAGTCTTCTTCCTCACTGTTGGAGGCTAGCTCCTTGCGCGGTGGCACATCCCGACGGCTGGCGTTGGACCGAGCTTGAGAAAGCTCTAAGCGGTCCATTCTTTGGTGTAGGGATTCCATGGACTCCCGAAGCATGCGTTGGACTTCACTCAGCAATGCCTGGTTGTTTATCTTGGGGTCAAATCTGGAGGCCTCGCTCCCACCGGACATGATGTAGTAGACCTGCAAAAGGTTAGTAGCAAAGCAAATATAGCAATGGATGCCTCACTTACTCCCTCACGTGTATACACTCACTCCCTCACGTGTATACACTCACTCTCGTGTATGATACTCAAATATCACTCTAATAATCTCACCAATACTCTCAAAAGCTCTTGATAGCTTACCGTTGAAGAAATTAGAAATCCTCCCAAGCAAACAATCAACTTCCAATTTGGAGCACGAGAGAGTGGCAATCCTCAATGGAATGGAGAATATGGAATGAGTGACTCGAGGGACAATGAAATGACAAGACTCAAATGAAAGGATCCAAAGAGGACTAAGACACGGATAGTAATGAAGGAAAGAAGACACGACTCAAAAGGACGAAATACTATACGACTCAAACAAAATACTTTTTTTTTTAGAAACGCACGCTGCCTTGGCTAGTTAGTATGTGCGAATGGTTCCTAATGGGAAGAAATGGGTGGCGGCCAACTACTTAAAAATGGAGGGAAAGAGGCGTAAAAGAAAATCGAGGGAAAAGCATAAGGAAGTTTCTAAAATGTAGGAGTATGGGAAGGTTAAAAATGTAGGAGATGGTGAGAAAATGTAGGAGGAAATTTAGGATACTAAATTTGGGAGCTTGCACAATTTGGAAACTCAAGACTTGGAAACCTTTTGGCCTTGGAAAATCCCCAAAGTGCACGGCTGGCCTGGGGTTTTAAATACCCAATGCAGTGATCTTTAACTCCAAAACAGCAAGCTGAAGTTCAGGTTCTCTTGGTGCAACACAAAAATTGCAGATTCGGATTAGTGCAAGACAAGAAGCAAGAGAATGGATAACCAACGAGGTGGCACTAACAACCCTCCTCAGGCTCCCCCCCAACGGGTTACCCAAGGTGTTCCTAAGAAATTTACTCCAAAACCACGAAAACCTTTCACTACCGCAAGGGAATACAAGAAACTTTTTAAAAGAAGTGTGAAACAAGTTCCCACGACTCAAAGTGTTCAAGAATTCCAAGAAGTAGTGGACCAAAACTTTTAATTTTGTTTGCTATGATTTGTAGTTTTCGGCTCCACTATGTAATCTTCAAAGTAATGGCAATAAACTCTGGAATTTCTTTGTTTTGGCAGCAACAAATTTTTTTTTTTTAAAACAATAAAGTGAGATAATGGCCGGCTAGAGTTGTCTTCGCTTGGGACTTGGCTGGCCGCTGTTAACTTGTATATGGCCGACAACAAGGAGAGCACTCAAATTTCATGCATGACAAGGAAAACCAACAAAGGCAAGCCAAATCAGTTTTCATGCAATTCGGCTTCAGCTTTGGGAAATCCAAAACAGGTCACGCACTTGGTTGTTTCTAAAACACAAGAGCTGTGGTTTAACTTCCTACTACGGTTTACAACCCACTAATCCCGAATTGCAAGGAGACAACAAAAAAAAAAAAACTGGACAGCTAGAGCTTTCTTCTTTTGGGACCTGGTTGACCGCAACTAATTGTGGATGGCCGACAAAGGAAAGAAATTCAGGTTTCATGCATGACAAAAGGGAAACCAATCGGACTTCATGCACTACCGAATTACCCCAACTACCAAACTGTGTATGGCCGACCAAGAAAGAAAGCAACTCAATCAGATTGAGCAAATCAGATTCGGCCAAGAGTAAACCAAAACAGGTTCACGGACTTGTCAATTTTCTCAACACACACAGGTCTGACTTCAAGATTTCAATTTGGCCAAGGTGTATTCCACTTCCAAAGCAGGGTATACAACCACTCAAAACAGTCCCCAAACTCACGAAGTGCAAGTAATAATTTCCGATAGCAACGGAAACAAAGGTATGGCAGCCGTTTCTCTTCCTTCTTTTTCTCTCTTCTTCCTTTTCCTTTTTTTTTTTTTGACTCAAAATCTCTAAACCCTAGTGACTCACGGACTCACCACAAGAGTGGGGCAGCCGCACACGACTCACGACCACCGAAGGGGACACAAACAAAATTTTCCACGCAAGAACAAGAGTAAACAAGGCTGAACTGCCTTGGACAGATTGTAGACGCTTTGGACAGAAAATTTTGACTCAAACACAACAAACAGATTCGGATTACATGTGGGCAGATTTGAGACAACAACGGGCAGAATTGACACAAAACAAAACAACGAAATCCGATGCCAAAAGAAGGAAAGCAAACGACACAAGGAACAAGTAACAAGGAATATACGTGATACCTTCAACTAGCTCTGATGCCAGCTGATACGAACGGCACCAACCTTGTGATGCAACCCGTACAAAAAGGCTTGGATCTAGAAGGTAGAGTCTCACGTTGAAGACGACGAACGCAGCGGATCACCTAAACCCATTGATCACGTGGTCAACGAACCTCGGTATTTGTAGAAGACGCCACAATCTAGCGCGGTCCTAGATTGATAAGTCAATTGAATACCTAAGATACAAATCTAAGATATTCAAGGTGCTTCAATGAAGCTTTGAGAGAACTCTCAATGTAATGTTATTAATCATCAAAACTGAATGTAACACATCACTTAAGGCTATTTATAGCCTTGACTAAACCCTAATAAAAGCTTGGAAAATACAAGGAAATTCGGCCAGCCCTTGGGCTTCTCTTTGGGCCGACACTAGCGAGACCCCCGAACCAGCTCAGCGTAGGGACTAACTACATGGCCTGGCCTGTTGACTCAAGGACTAACAACGACTAAGGTCCAACCCACAGGCTAGTTGGACCTCTTTGTTACACTCTACTAACTAAGGATGGGCCATGGGCCCTTGGCCGAATCTTGGGTAACTAATCCTCATGAATGGTCGCAAGTAAGATGACATCTCTAGCTTCGTTGAGGCCCTCAATGGCCTTTGGCTCTCCACTTGACTCTCGGGCCGTACGAACCAACGTTTGTAGTGTTTCATTTAACCTCTTCGATCGAGCTCGTGTCATAGGCCCCAATGGCACCTTCACGTGCTCCACGTGGATAGCGCTCTCGACCTCCGCATCACCAGGTATATAATAAAGCTATTTAAATATAAAATTATGAGCATAAGAAAGAACTTACAGAAAATCAGAGTAACCTTTGAAACGGAAGCTTTAAATTGTAGAGCCTTTGAGATGAAATCAAACTTCAAATCTTTTAAATATTGAAATATGATAACAGAAGAATTTAGAAACTAGAAGTAAGAGGCTTTCAGAGAGTTTCTTAGAACAGCTAAAAACACTCGATGCCTCTACATTGGGTTTTGAATGCTATTTATAGAGCTTTTTGCCTTCGAATTTCATCTTCATTTGATTGCCGACACTTTCATTTGAATTTCATTTGCTTTTTTCTGCCGACACCTTATCTTCTTCTGATTGGTTGCTTTTGATATTTTCTTTTGAAATTTGGCCGACAACTTTATCAAAAGTCTGCCGAGTCTTGAGCACAAGGACCACCGAAAGGATCAAAAGTAGATTCTGACGATGACCCAGCTGACTCATCTTTTTTGTCTTCTTCTTTTTTGTCTTGCTTCTGCAAATAATTCAAATATTCTTTAAGCATCTCCGGATTCTGCATCATCTTCTACATTAAGAAATCATTTGCAATTGTCTCTGAGGCTGAGTTGCTTGATTTTTCTTTTTCTTTCTTTTGTGGAGTTGTTAGGGTACTAACTCCTTTTACAATTTGCTGATTTGGATTTATCCACTTGAGCTTTTCTCCTGTTTCTAAAAATCTCAAAACATTCTTTTGATCACAGAATTCTTGATTGAATCCTATCCACCATGTGATTTTGAATTCTCTGACTAGTGACATTGGAAGTGATTTTTCTAGTTCTTGATGAATTTTGAAACTCCAGCAAAAAATCCATGGAACTTTGAACTCCATGTGGAATAAAATTGGCCTTGTATACTCTTCCCCCCCTGCTTTTTTGAGATAAGTCTGCAATCCCATTAAAACGTTTGGA